AAGTTTATAGTAAAAGGTTAAATATAAAAATAATAAGAAATATTTTGTTGTTAAACTTGTGCAACATCCAGTCTTTTATTTGAAGAATAAATAAATGTAAAAGTTAACGTTGAGGCCTATTCTGTCGGGGTGCGGATTTTTTAATTTATATGAGGCAAAAAAGTTGCACTAAATAAATCACACGAAAATTATTAAAAGGAATGAAGGTAATATTAAAAAAATACAAATTTTATAAATTGTGTCGTGGTTGTATTTAATTTATGTATTAACTTTTTAAGGTGATCTTGAGTTATGTATAAATGAGTTTTAATATTTTATGTTCTTTTTATTAGTCGACAGATTAATGTAAGTTTCTGATTATAATGAATATTATTACTGTTATTAACATAAAAGAGGCGTGTTTTTTGCTTTCTATTTCGTATACATTAATTAATATGTCGTTGTTAAACGGACTGTACACCGATTGTTTAAAAAATATATGTAATAGTTTCATCATTAATTACTTAAAAATGTAGAAAATGTATTTGTATGTATCAAGCGATCTAATTAAAGATCAACAAAATCAGTTTAAAGTTTTTATTTTTAACAATTATTAACGTTTTACATCGTCTTAACACGGCTTCTTTTAGTGCAAAGAAATTTTTATGTGGTGCTAAATATTCATATTTTTAAGTCTTAAGTGTACGCAATAGTAAAAGAATTTTACTACGACTTATTACTTAAAACCAATGGAACATGTATTAGTAAGAACGAGTAATTTTTTTTTTCAATTTAGTGCGCCATGATTTTATTTAAACATATGAGTACTTTTCTGCTACAAAAAGCAGTGTAAAAAAGCTGCACATATATTCACAACGATTAATTTCTAATAAACCGTTTAATAAAAAATGATTTTTTTAAATCAAGTAAAATAATTGTGTTACTCCCATTGTAAACTATTAAGTGCTCCGCCACTGATTATTGTGTTTTATTTAGTGTATGGTGGGGATAGCGCCATGCTGAAATGCTTATTACTTTATAATGTGCATGAACAGCGTTAGTGTGCACCATAGATAATAGGTGTGCACGTGGTGTTGTTGGTATGCGGTTGTGTTTTGCAGGCCGTACTTTTAATAAAAAAGCGGTCGTAATAAAATTCCTCTACCATGTACAGCAATAATAGTGTTTAAAACCGGTAAACATTAATGTGTATCATACGTAATATTTATGTCAAGTAAAATAATACATTCCTATACAACATTACTTCAATACACCTGAAAAACAGTAATATTTGAATATGTGGTGCATGTGTATGCGAACTATCTACTCATCAGTTCTTTGTCGTCCTTACGTGGTGCTAAATTTAGAAGTCTGTCGATTATCTAAAATCTGTAGAAAACCCAAAAGAAACTGGACACCAGAATATGATGGCTTTCAATCATCAAATAATGTAAAATTGGTAAGTAGTTTTCAGATTCATTAGTAGATTGTCTTACTAAATTTTTATGGAACAGGTGCATTTTTTTAATTATCTTATTTGTATGAAGACATTTTAAGCTGTTAAGTGCAATAGCTTAGGATTATAGATTATATGTGTAATAATGACAACAAATACCTATACATTTAAGTACAGCCTTACAGGTATTCTAACAACCATTTTTATTAACATGTAGTAAGTACAATAATTATATGAAAGCTGAAAACAATTCCCACATGTAACATTTAACAAATGCAGGTATATGTATTTGCCTAAATTAATTCTATGCATTTCAGTTACAGTAATGTATAATTTGTATACGTACACCAAGTTTACAGTTAAAAACATGAAAACTAATTGGTCTGTTTCAGGTATTCGTTAGTATAGGTACATTTAATGCTTTTTGCGTAACATCTAGTTATTCCTCTTAATAAATAATGTAGGTATTCGACATTGATGTTTTAAGTCATTGTTTGTTTTTGAACAAGTTTTACAGACTATACGTTTATGCAACTGCAACTGCATGCAGACATGTAGATAAACATAAAATACTTATGAATTAACGGGATTTAAATTCTAATAATGTAATTTTATGACGGTATTGATACTAATAATAATAACGTATAATAAGTTATTTTATAATAAATAGTGTTAATTTTATACACAAACAGATACAGGTATCTACAGTTTCTAATATTATATACCGTAAAGCTTAGTTCGAGGATTCCCCGAATGTACATAGCTAAATGAGTTTACACATGTAAGTGTATTTATTTAAATTATATCTCATAAATAAAGTGGGATCAACCATGTTTTGTTTTCGAACGATAAAATAACGCTAATATTCCGATTGGGATCCACTGATTGTAAGATGGAAGTCGATGGTACCCAAAGATAAAGTGGTACCTTTTCAGAAAGCTTAGGTTAGTACTTATTAAATGGCCCCACTCCCAGCATCCGGATAAGAAGTTAACCGTTGCCCCATGTTAGCAACAAATACTGCATGTGGAACCTCGCTTAATAAGATTATACTAGGTTAAGTAGGGTAGGTTACGTTGTGGTAGTAAGAGTTCACCCTTCCCTGGGGCGGTTCTTCTAATTCCTTCGCAAAACCAGGCTCCGAATTAATACTGTATTTGTTGCTAAAATGGTTCAAAGGTCAACTTTTTCGCCTCACGCTAGGAGTAATACCATTCGAAAGGTCCTGACGTAAGCTTCTCAAAAAGGTACCATTCAACCCCCAAATTCAGTGGGCTCGAATTGGAAAATTCATCAAAATACATAAGTATTTAAACAATTGTATTACAATTGTTGAAATCGTCTACGTACAGCTAGGACTTTTCAATAAAGAAATTTATTATGTTCTAAATTATAATCTTCTATGTTATATTAAGGCATTATTATTGTCTCACGTTTCTCTAAACTAGAATACTAAATATTATAATTAAAATTCTCTTCTCCTATAATTCGTTAACACTACTATTAATTCTTTTGGGAGTTGTTTCGTAACTAATTAAGGAAGAACAGTTAAAAGAGATTAACAATCTTGAAAAAGTAAAAATTTCAGGTGAATTTCTTTTAACATAAGCAAATAAAAAATTATTTTTGTAGGCAGTACCGTTTGCTTTAATTTGACTGTATTGTTTTGTCATCAGCATTAGTATTAAATAATTTAAAAATTTCCTTACAAAAACGTTTTAAGTAAAAGACATATAATCATAATCCTAATTTTAATCAAACAATTTAAAACATCTCGAGTTAGAGAATAGATAAAGGGGAAGAGTAGTGGGTCCTCTTTTGTGTTAGTACAAAACTTTTGAATGCCATCATAAAATTTAAACGCAGGTGCAACTCATAAAAATTTTATTTTACTAAATAAATAGAGCGCTTGTAAATTTTATAATGACATTAGAAATAATATGCTTAACATTGCTACAATACTATAACATTTTATATGCTTGAATACATTTTAGTCTTAGATTTTAGGACAAAATTAAATACCAGTACAACTATATAAGTTCGTAGGTTTATGCTTTCATCTAGGTATATTTCTAATATGTACCTAGAGTAATTATTATTAGGTATGTATTATGTAATACTTTGCTTTTATATTTTTATTACGAAAATACCACAATTTCTATTCTAGCAAAAATTTCAGTACTTTTACACTAACATTTTGGTTCATATTGTAAATTAAGTACGTATAAGTATATTTTTTAAAACTTGGCCATTGAAATGAATATTGGGTAGTTTTTTCTTCAAAACTAAACTGGTGTTAGCCCTTGTTGTGTTTATTTTGAATTTAAGTTTCTAGAATACTTATAAACTCTGATTTCACGAATTTTGTGAGTAATTAAAAAAATAATGATTACCTATTCGATGTGGCATTATACGATACAGAAAATGATTTTCAAAAGCCATACATACATATAGAATACTATATGTTACTGTTTGGGACGGTAAAGCACATTTTACATCTATTGACTATATGTATAATTATACTTCACTAACTGTAAGTTGTAACTATTATTTTTATAAATTCAAATGAATAATCTTAACGCATATTAAAAAAAACTATTTACTTTTAATATCTGTAGAGGAGAGAGTTTGATGTTTTAAGACAAATTTTCATTAAAACAGCATTTATAGTCTTAATTAAGCTATGTCATAGATGTGCACAAAACAATTAATTTCTTCTTAATTTGTGTTACGTAGACAAATTAAATTGTTCGAATTTCGACCACATGCTATACTGGTGGTAATTAATTATCTACTGCCACGAAAATTACAGAGTGCTCAAAAAACGTTTACATTATAATTTGTATTGTTGTTTTAATGATTTTTTCTTAATTGACTTCTTTTGTTTGTTATTTTGTTCAACGAATTATGAAACACTAAAATAAGTAGATAATCGTTTTGTTCTAATGTAAATTGGTCGTAAAACACCCTGTATACTCAAACTCCCATATGTTTTTTGGGATTTGAAACTTTAAAGAACACACGTTAAACAAAGTTCTAAAAAAAGCAAAACTTACTTTTCCGAGTCTTATTAGGTACATGTAAAATCTGAATGTTGTTATTACAATAACACTATTGAAACCGAAAAATATTTAAATATCTATATTTTTAAAATTTGGTTTTTGAAAGAAAAGGGGTTCGCATATTTTATCAACAAAATATTTTCATCATTCAGTTTTTTTAACTAGTTTTAACAATTATAATTTTTTTCTTGTAAAGCAATTTTTACGATGGTCGACATTATTTTTATATTATACAACTACAGTTTTTTTTTAATTTCTAACACTTTTTATGTTTAACAAATTTTACACCGAAGCAACTTGAGCATTTGGTTGTTACAGATGGTAACTTTAGCTGAATAATACGTAAATATAGTAAGGGTAACATTAATTGTTATTAACAAAATCAGTTTAATGCAATTATACATATAGAGTAGGCGAAATAATAAAAAATTTTCATATCATTATTTTTTTTTTAGTGTTGCCCTTACCATACAAGTAAATTTGTAATAATATTTACATTTCTATTTAATTAGTAATATGTTTCACAAGCTTCGGGGTTCCAAGAAGCAAATACATTTAGTTCATATAAACTTGCAAACGATATAAACAACAAATACCAAATCATTAGTATTATTCCATATTTTCGATCCAATTTCCAACCGTTCAAGTGGGTTGCAACCACCAAAAATATCACTGTAGATAGCAGGGAAAAGGTAGAGTAGTTTAGACCTAAAAATATCAATCGATGAATCGATGAAATTTAATGTAAAAGTGAAGTTACATTGACTATTGTAATGTTGCTAACTTCAAATGTAACCTAGCCTAACCTAACCTGATAATAATAATAATAGTAATATGTAGGTACATGAATAAAATAGTGATGAAAAAGTTACCTTTACTAATGACGTTCACTCGCGACCCCGGGCTGATAATAGCCGTTTGAATAAACCATGGAAGACCTAAGCATACTAAGATGTCGAAAACATTAGATCCCACAGCGTTTGATACTGCCATGTCACCATAACTAGCAAAAACATAAAAATTATCCACAAAAACATCATATCATAAAATCACAGTGGATATCGTTTGTAGTAACGTGTTGACCGTTACAACCGTAGGTCGCTGTATCCAAACACAAAATGTATACATTTCATCACATTTATCGTCGCTATATCGGCTTCGTCGTACTATCCGGTGTTGTTATTAACGATAGGTATCACGTACAAAATGTTTTATTTCTGTTATATAAGATATCGTTATAAACGATATCTACTGTTTACATTTTTAACCTGTAAGGCAATTTGATGTAATTTTTTCCTTACCCTTCCTTTATAACTGCAATGCTGGAGAGAGCGTCTGGTACAGAGACCCCAGCTGCAACAAATGTTAACCCCATTACAGTATCTGGGATTCCCAGGGTTGATCCTACGAATTTTTTATTTATTAGTTGTCCCGTGTGTAATTTTTCGTATTGTTACGTAGTATCGATAAATTCACATTTAGATCACTGGCACAAATTTGATACATCTAAATTATTTATTTAAAACTGCAAGCTAACACCTGCTTACGTACTGTGTGAGCAGGTCAATTAGCAATCGTTTAAATAGCGAAATCAATAATTATAATCAATTATAATCAAGAAGTCAAGTCAAAATGTCGAGAGTCAGGAGTCGAATTCAAGATCACGAAGATGCAAGGTGGTGAGGCGGCTGTCTTCACTCACCCTGTGTTCGTTCCCCAATTATCTAATAAGGTAGGCTCGAATTATTTTATTGTTAAATAATTAATTAAGTATAATTAAATTGTTGACAAGCCATTTTAAACTGTAAAATCTCTGTTAATATTATATTAAAGTGATTATATGCCAAATAAATTAAGCAGATAATTTCGCTTTATTGTGACATGGTGGATAAATAATATATATAAATAGCTTGCAGTTTTAAATAAATACCAACTTTGTGCCAGTGAGCTAAATATGAATTTATGTATACTATGTAACAATATTCGAAGTAGGTAAGCACTCACCAATTATGGTTATCATCCATACCATGAAATAAGAATAAAACGATATCCAAACCATCGAAATCACAAAAGTAAATGGGTACCAACTTTTGTATTGCTCTGTTCTACAATCGGGCATGGTTTTTTTGCACATGTAATGGATGGGATATACTATTATCCATTTAGTCTGAGCGTACCACGTAGGATCTAAAAGTGCATTACTAATGTTTTTAATCAATTCAGAACTATTGATTAATAATTTTGTTTTGTATCAAATATGTTGTTATAGTCCAGTCCAGTCGTCTGGTTGGGAAATCAGTATGACAAGAAAATTTCGTAGGGGTCCTAGAATTAAAAAGTAATTTAATAAGGGTGCTCCTGCCCCGAGTAAGGAGGGCAAAGTTGACCAAATTGCTCCGAAACTAATATGTATTTAGATACGTGAAAATTTTAGCGTAAAAGTTGTAAACGAAAATTAAAATTTTACACAATGAATCACATAGCTACAAAATAGCAATGAATATAGTAAATAATAAATATTATTTTTTTAATTATAGAGATAAGGATTGAAGTCATGGGTGATAACGTTTTAATAGCTGCCACTTTTATTTTAAACTGTTTTTTGTATTTTTGTGAAAAATTGAGTTTTGGGGTAGTTTTCATAATTATTTACTCGTGTTTTTCATAGGAGCACTTTCATAATGTAGGCTATTTTTGGTTTCTAGCTTCTAGCAGTTTCCTGAAGATTACAGCAACGCTGAAAAATCAGTGGCAGATCGAGGTAGTTCACATGCATAATTTCACAATTGGTGAGTACAATTAATTGTTTATTTCCTAAATGTAACTGAAGCATCGGCGGTTTTAAAATTTTCGATTACGATCATTGTCTGCTAAAGTATTGGCTTATTTTATTTTGCGATATGGTACACAATTTGTCACTGTACCTACTGTTGTATAAGTCATAAGCAAAGTAAAACACTTGCTCACTTGCTGGGGATTATGTGGGATTGAAGACTCTCGAAATATAGTTTTCCCCACCTGAAATGTAATGTTAATGACTAATTGAGCAACGATCTGCCTTTGCTCACGCGACCGAACGGCCAGTTAACCATTAATACGTAATAGTATCAAAGATTAATTATAATTTTCACATTCATCCTAAGGCACGACTTATTTTGTTTTGTTTAAAAATTCAAGGACATTAAGTGTTCACTTGCTCTCAATAGAAAGCCTTCGTTAATTCTTTAATAACAGTTGAAACTTTTGTTACACTTAAAAAGACAATGTTTATTTTAAACAATTACTTTTGTTTATTGTATACTTTTGCCCCCTTTTTATCTATCTAGAAGACCCCCGTGCAAACATAAATAGAATTATTTTTTCAAATTATTTAATTACGTATGTTTCTTTTTATTAAATTATATGTATATTTACCTTCTGGCCTTTGAAGGGGATCAATGTAGTCCGAATGATCTTTGGGCTTATAATATTGAGGGTTTTGTCTTTCGGGTTGTTGAAGTTGTTGTGGAGGAGGAATTTGTTCAGGTGGGGGTTGCTCTTGAAACTGGTTTAATTCCTGCCCTTGTGTACCATCAAATTCTGTAACTGAAAAATATGTCGTTCAGTATAGGGTGCGATTATTCCTTCTTATTCCCATTTGATAAATAATTGAGTTATGTGGGTACGTAAAAAAAATAGCAACCCTTAAAGATAAGCACTTAATTCATTGTTGTTTTCCATAACAAGAACATGAAAAGAAAATTTTTGTTTTATTGCATTTGATAGTTGAGGGTTGAGGACAGTGGTGGACTAGGCTAAAGCGGGCCCTGCGCAAAATTGTAATTCCGGGTCTCTTTTTAAGTCATGACACATAATTTGCGTTTGGTAGTTTGATTTTGAAGCATATAATATGCTATTCTATTTAATTATCGGATTCCAAGAAAAAAAATGAAAAAAATAATATACATGTATAAAAATTAAATAAACATAATTTATTAAATAAAATAATTCGAAGTGGTCTGTATTCTGTCGAAACTGCCAGACGCGGATCGCGATTTCGATCTTTTTGGATCTCATCAGCGCGTCGCAGGCAGCTCCGACAGAACACAGACCTTGTTGGAGCATACGTAATCCTAAAATGTAGCATCGTACTACAGATGGCGTTTACCGCGCCATATGCGGTATTTTCTAAAACACGCTTTTAAGACAGCAGGTAAAGGTTGGTCTGTGTTCTGTCGGAGCTGCCTGCGACGCGCTGATGGGATCCAAAAAGATCGAAATCGCGATCCGCGTCTGGCAGTATCGACAGAATAAGTAAGATAGATATCCATATATTTAAATGGACCTTGTTGGAGCATACGTAATCCTAAAATGTAGCATCGTACTACAGATGGCGTTTACCGCGCCATTTGTGGTATTTTCCATAATTTATTAAAACAAATATACCCAGATTGATTAGTTATATTGCCTTTTTTAAAAAACTAATTTTCGGGCTCCCAAAATTACGGGCCCTAGGCACGTGCCTAGGTTGCCTAGGCCTTAGTCCGCCCCTGGTTGAGGCACATAATTTTCGAAGTTCCATTTTTATAAATTATATGTATATTGATGCACATATTTTGTCACCTGATGAAGCTACGGTGTAGCGAAACAATTGCGGTGAAAGTTAATATATTTGTATAACTTTATATTTTAAACAGTGATTAAATATTAATACCTTGTTCGGCAGTCTTTACTGTTGTATCGTAGTTTTGGTCCGGATTACTTCCGTAGTTAGGAATTTTCTTGTCGTCGTCCATGGTTTTGTAATTGACCAACCCCGATCCTTCTTCGGGGGTTGGTAACTTAAATGGAATCGGTAGACTGTGCGCCCACTTTTCCATTTGAGGGTTATAATGTAATGCTATGCAGTACACCCCGTACATTATTAACATAAATAATGACTCATCCCTAAACGAAAGAAAAAACAAACGGCTTAGAAAATTAGTCAAAATTACATGTTTTCGTGAAAACTAATAACTGTAATAGTGAGAATAGCGCAGGGTGCAGCCGCTTTTAAGGAAAAGTTGTTATTGATTCTCGAAATAAAGAAACCGTTTCAATTTTTCCAGTTTAGGTATCCCTGAAATTTTCCAATGTGTTATAGGCATTATTTTCGATAATTACGGAACATCTGGCAGGACATTATATATGTAGATAGGATAAAAAATGAGGAATTAATGTCGAGACAGTAGGACGATGAGGTAGGAAATGATATAGTGTATAACACCACTGTATATATCTTATGCAGAGATTTTTATCTTGCATTTAAATTCTTTTTTGAGAAATGCTTTTGTATTTTATGTAAAATACTTTTCCAAATGTATTTTTTATTTGTATGATGCAAAATACATTTTTACCTTTAAAAGTTTTGGTAGTACCTACCACTGATCAAACATTATATAAAATGATGAATGAAAGTTGCTCACATTGACTATTGAAGCTTAAAAAGGGGACAAAATTCCATGAATGCCTTCTAATTCTTTAACTGAAGAGAGCCCAAACAATTCTAAACTCCTTGAAAATGGATAATCTAAAATATTGGATCGATATTGTTTTCCGGGTTCAATGTCATGGTCCATGGAATTTTGAAGTTCCAAATTGATATCAGCACCTGCCAAATCACCTTTAGCAAGGAACTACGAAATTCTATGAATTACGACAAAACAGTCCGCAAAATAATATCGAATTGATATATATATACGTTTTCGAAAAACTTCACATATTAGATGAACCCAAAGCTAAAGAAACCATGGATTCCATTTCTTTCTCTTATTACAATGTGTAGGAGATCAGAAACAAAATGGGGTTGTAAATACTTTGATATAAAATTATTGATGTTATTATTTGCAACCCTATTTTGGCTCTGATCATTGACGCTATAAGCAAACTATTTTGGCTTCAGTGTCTCTTTTCCAATTAAAACGGGTGACAAAGGCAAATAAGGAAGCATATAGAAGAATTATTTGTTGCTGAACTGAAGAAACTGTGACATAAAGATAGAAAAACTATATCTCAATAACTTCAAACAGAAAAGTATGAATCATAGTCAATCTTTATTAATATATAGATATATTAAAAGTTGTAAGATGTAACCGTAGCTCCAGACTAAACTTTTGATAATATCCTATATTGATAATGCAATATATTTACGTTTTGGCGCCATTTCATAGCTGTTAACCGCAATCGTTTCGAAATGTAAATGCATTTGATTTCGCATGTCTCCAGCAGCCGCTTCTCTAGCGATGTGACGTAGCCACGCCTGCGCTATACGAACTTATTCGGACAATCAAGTGTTCGTTGTTCGAACTAGCGAAGGTTCTGATTCACATATGTTCGCATTATCGAGGTTGTACTGTATTTTCAATATTGCCCTAATTTAGAAGCTGTGTTTAGTATTAGGTATTCTACTAGTTGAATGTAAAGTGTAATGCATGTTGGACTTAATTCGTTCGCCCGAAGATCCATTTGGAGCAGCTTTTTAGTTCCAGTGCGGCGTTAAATGGAAACGGAATCGGATAAAATTGAGAGGGTGGATCGGGACAATAGGTTGTTGAAATCGTATTGCGGACTGAATAACCCATCGCACTGAATTGTCGCGTAATTTGTTTCTTTCATTCCGAAGAACTTGTGTGAAACAGCAATTGTAACATCACCCTATTACAAATTTACTCTGAATTCTTGAGCTACAGTTTTCAGTGATGCATCGTTTGGAATTTTTACTCGAACACCTTTAAACTGCGTGCACGCGTTAGTCTAATTTGAACTTTTGACTTCAGAATCAATTTTATTTTGTGAATAAATGCCGTAAACGTAAAACATGCTGTAACGTTTTATTTATAAGTTATAAGCATATTGGATGACTCACCAAGATATAGTATCGTCGTAAATCACCACGAACATTATCAATATGGAAAGGGCATAGAAGGTACAGTCTCTCACAAGGGGCCACCAATTCAAGTAGCAAACTGTACCAGTAGAAAGGGCGCATACCGATATTACAAACATGATGTTGAAAACTGCTGACCCTATCACTCCAGATATTCCTGGAAACATTAACAAATTATATATCTCTTCGAGTCGATTTAAGAAAGCAATATTTATATGGAATAAGTTATGAAAAGAACTGTTTTTCCAAACAAATGATCTTGAAAAAATAGTTTTATATTACAGATACTAATTAATCAATTAAATATAGGTGTGGTTTAGAATTGATCCAAACGTCTAATGTAGGTACCACTTATATTTCGGTAACAAAGTTACCTTTTCCAGGACGTTTTGTGTTTTGTTTTGAAGTTAGAATTTGAGCAATTTGTTTTACAAAACTGCCAAAGTCTGCAGTTTTATTTGCAGTTATTAACTGATTCAGAACATCGCCTTCATTTTGGATCCATGAACCCCTCAAGGGGCCATGTCGCAGCGGTCAGATAATAATTAAAAAGGTTAAGAAGTCTGTTAATCTATTTGTGTTTCAAAACCTTGTTATTAATTCGTCTTTATTTAGAACTTCGCCTTCCTAAATTGTCCCTCATATACACACCACCTTGTTTTTTATATATTTTACTATTTAGTACATATATATACTTATATTGTTAATAAACATTAAATTCACACTTACCGATATCATCTTGCGCGAGGAAAACTCCAATTATAACAGTGGCTAACTCCGGAGCAGAACTTCCTGCAGCCATAAAAGTTGCTCCAGCAACATCCGGGGCAAGTTTCAACTCTGAATACAGACACTTTTGAAAATTGAAGTGAATTCGTAACAAATTTAGGACAATTATGATTAAATATATATATATGCAGTTCGATAAATCGTATTGAAGGAATTAAATTAAAAAACTATAAAGTCACACAATAAAAAAGAACAATGAGAGCATTAATTTTCACTCCAAATGTACACTAAGTTAGTCAAAAATTTTAGGGTATTTCACTCCCACTATCTAATGGAACTGCCCAACATGTACTGTGCCTCTTCGGCACCTTTACAGGGATGTTGGGAATCAGTGAGGGATGGTTGTGGGGAGAAAATTGAGAAGAACGAAATGAAGACAGATAAGAAGCAAAAGATTATTTGTGGAATAATATTTCTGCCCCACAATTTGCCAAAAACAATGATTTAAAATATTTTGACAAAATCCCAAAATCTTTATTTTTTACACCAGCCACATTCTAACGGTTCAATGTTCTTCTAACCCCTAAGCTCTTTAATTTTTACACCGGCGACATTCTAACGGTTCAATGTTCTTCCAACCCCTAAGCTCTTTAATTTTTACACCGGCGAAATTCTAACGGTTCAATGTCCTACCAACCCCTGAATGTCTTGCTTCCAGATTCGTCCACCTTCATCATATTCTTTTCTTAATTCCAAACTTGCCATACTTCCCCTATTTGAACCTTCTTATACCACACTTTGATTTTCTTTTTATTATTTAATTTCATTTCCTGCTTAGCTATCTGCCGTATGGCGGTTAATTTAAAATATAGAAAATGCCAAAGCTTTCACTTTGAATTTGGTTTCGGTTCGTAATAATTAAAATCCGCCTTCTTTGTAAAATTATGTCTGAAATATTTACCTTCACATATTCGATCTAAGGAGGCCACAAAGTACTCGTCACAAACAATTGAGAGCCCGAAAAATGTATAAACCGCAACAATAATGTGGATAATGATCCCCCCATGTCTTCGTGCTACTGGACCAATTAACGGTTGTGGAAACTAAAATAGAAAATTAAATTAAATATCACAAAAAATATGAACACGCAAATACATGAGTTATGTGGACAAGAGCATTCAACATACAGTAATATATTGTAATGTTCGTGGGTTTAACAAAATTAACTTTTAAGATTGCTAACGACAAAACTATTTATTTACACTAATTATTAAGGAACTTAAAACACTATTAAACTATTACTAAACTTAGGTGATGAATTATTCTATTTATTTACACTACGTTGATATATCACTATTCACTGTCAATTTATTTCTCGATTCACTTCTGCAACGGTCAATTTATTTCTACTCCCCCTCGACGATCGTCTCTTCCTTTAAATACTCTTTTGTTTCCTTTCTGGAACCCTCTAGAAACATCCGGATCGTTTCGTTTTTCTTTGAACTGTTTAACTGCTTTCCCAGAACGCAGGTACGTCACACACATTTACAAATATGGCGCACATGAAGAAAGGCGCCCGTGGCTAGTCGGCGAATCGATAAGCCGTTCACGCACACAGTGCCCGATCGCGCACAAACACGCTCGTGCCCGCTACAATATTTAATAGAAATGCAGCAATATTTTCCGAAAAACATCTTTGAATTTATTATTTTTGTTCTTGAAATATTAGCCCAAATATTTTTATAAAAATGATGATGACAGTAATACATATATTCATAATATAACGTCTGCTTGTGGATTATGTATTATCTTTTTTATGTTACGTATCCTCGAATTTTTGGGATACCTCGTAATCAAATGTAATACATATACAACGTACACACATAAACGTTATAGGTCTCAAAATAAATTGTGAATCTACCTATAATACTATACATATATCACAAAAAAATATCCAGTTTTCCATTTTCCTCCTTTGAATTATTCATAGGAGCTTGGTTCCCTCAGAAATGGAACTAAAGACTTCCTAATTTTACAGCGCCAGTCTTCCATTTTTTATCCTGCTCGGCACCGTTTTTTGAACAAAATTGAAAAATCCGTAGGGACCAACGTAAGATAATAACAATAACCATGTATCTATATCTTCTAATAATTTTTATGATCACATGAAATGAATACTATTTTTTTTTACAAAAAGATTTTTGTGAAGTGGAAGGAGGGGTAGGAAAAGTCTGGGGTAAGAAAAGGAAAATGCTGCACGGAGAAAATGAAAAACGAAACTGTACCTAAATATTACAGCGATATTTAAAATTTATCCCACTATAATAAAAATTACAATTTGGACCCGAATTTGTAAAAATAAAATTCCAGCAGAAATAAATTTACTAGATATTGTAGTTGATATTACAAATTTAATTGTAATAATTAAGAAACTTAAATAATTTTTAAAAAACATGTCAAAATTAAATTTATTACTTGTTACTTAATAAATTTTAATATTTCTACGATAAATTTACAATCGAAAATTGTAATTTTTGCGTTGTCATAAAAATTTAGTTTTCTCCGTGTTGCATATTCATCAGTCTTGATTTTAGTCTTGGTCTTGTTCGTTCGGTCTTGGTCTTACTAGTCAAAATACAGTCTTGGTCTTGGTATTGGTGTTGGTCTTGCCTTTTCGCAATATAATTTAGATGTAAGTACAAAAACCTGTACTTAGTTGTAAAGAAATTCAAACTACCTCAAAAAAAAATATTTTTATGAATTTTCCACCTCTAATCGTTATTTAGGTAATCCCTACCCTTCCAATTTTTTTAGTATTTTGAAAATTTTATATCATACCACTTTGTA